AAGAGAAGGAGGATGAATTTTCATTGAGTCATTGTTGCTAAAACCGCTAAAGATTTTAGCATCATCAAAGTGAGGATGTGAAAAAGGAAGAAAAAAAAGATGATGACGGTCCCAAAGAAAATAAGGACGGTGTCAGTAAAATTGAGAGTTTGAAAGATGCTGGTCTGAACTGCGATCAGTATGCGAAACAGCTTGCTGCTATGAAAGTACATTTAATTCTTTTATAATTGGTGATTTATCTTGTAGAGTAATATCTGCTGAATATAAAAGCATTTTTAGACTAAGGGTGCTGCTCCAGGTAGGGATTGGACTGATCAGGAAACTTTATTGTTATTGGAAGCTTTGGAAATGTTCAAAGACGACTGGAACAAAGTTTGTGGTGTCAAATCGTTCTTTAAAAATTTTTTACGGATCGGATGCGGAGAATTAAAGCCACTCTTGTGTGCTTTATTTTGGGTTTTTATTGTAAACGATGTTTGGTTCTCGATGTTTGTTTCGAATATTTTTTAAGGTTGCCGATCATGTCGGTTCTCGCACTCAGGATGAGTGTATTATGCGTTTCCTCCAGTTACCAATTCAGGATCCATATTTGGAAGAGGGAGGTCCAGAGGCAGAAATTCTTGGTAATTTTTAGTCATCTTGATAATCCTTCGATTTCTTTAAACTTTCGTGTTCAGGGCCTTTGGCGTACCAACCTGTGCCATTTAGTCAAAGTGGTAATCCAGTAATGTCCACTGTCGCGTTTCTTGCATCTGTTGTTGATCCCCGTGTAGCTGCCAGTGCTACGAAAGCTGCAATAGGCGTGTGTTTTGTCAGAAATTCAGCTCTTTTATTCGTTTTAATCTTTGAATCAACTGTGAATTTTATTTAGAGGAATTTGCAAAAATGAAAGAGGAGGTACCCCCTTTGGTTGCTGAAGCACATGTGAAAAATGTCGAAGCAGCTGCTCAGGGCGAGAAGTTTGACGGCACTGCGGGGCTTGCAACTTCTGGCATCGCAACAGATGATAAAGGTTTTTATAAGTTAAAAATGGCAAAAAGTTTGCTAACAAAGTTATTCAACTTCCCTGCTAGAATTTTTAGGTAAGCCGGTTACGTCGGAAGCGACTAAAGAGACCGGTGAACTCATGGACACCACTGAGAAGCCGACAGAACCTGGGGCTACCTGTGAGGAAACTGGTGGGAAGGAGGAGGCGAAAAAAGCAATAGCGGAGAAAGTTCAAGTTGCTGCTGCTGCAGCTCTTTCAGCAGCAGCAGTGAAAGCAAAAGCAAGTTTTATCGCATTTTAAACTCATGAATCGTGCTCTTCTCTTTGATTTTTTGTTCAGCTTTTTTGCTTTGCAGCACTTGTCTACGATTGAAGAGCGCAGGATCAAATCTCTCGTTGCACAATTAGTCGAAACTCAGATGAAGAAATTGGAAATGAAGCTGCGTCACTTTGACGAGTTAGAAGCAATGATGGACAAAGAAAGGGAAGCGGTACTTTGCTTTGTTTCTAAATTTGTTTTTGTTTTTACGTAGTTTATTCTGCACTTTTCACTGTGCTTTTACGTGCTTTCTCTTGAGTGACATTTTTTTTGTATAGCTGGAGTATCAGCGACAGCAGCTTATTCTTGAACGACAGTCTTTCCACATGGATCAGCTGAGATACCTTGAGCAGAGGGCGAAGCACGACGCGCAAAATAAACTTGTTGTAACAGGTATTATCTTAGCTTTGGGAATATTACTGCATATAGGAAAGAAATAATTCTTATGTTTTTTTTATATCTTGAAGGGACAAGAGTTCTTCAACATGTTATAGATTTTTTCATGTTAGGTTAAATACTTTTCAGTCAATTGTATTTTCTGGTCATGCACAGTTAGTCACCGCACTTGGAACTAATATAACTTCTTTAAAATATAGCCTTTTTATCTTATTTTTTCAGTCAAGATAAGTAACAAAGCTACATATTTTTTTGCTGGAATTACGCATCATTGTGCGATTGTTTTTCAAAGAAAGTCTTAAAAATTTTTTTTTTTTTTAAAAGGGCAGCCGTCGTTGTAACTTTGATGTCTTGACTTCGGATTGTTAGAATTTGTACGTTTGGTGTTCCTTGAAATGCCCTATAAATGTTATAAGTGGTAGGCTGATCATGAAAAATGGGATGTAAAATACTGCAGTTTTGTTGCTTTTCAATTATTTTTGCTCTCAATTATAGGTTCCGTAAACGCACAGTTGTAAGGGGAATCCTACTGAGCAGTAAAAGCTATGAGAGGTGAAAGTCCTCTGAGTGCAAAAAGTCAATCACTTTTATCTTTATATTTCTCAACTTTTTTGGAAACTGCTTTTGAGCTCAAGAAGTAATACTTTGGTGTGAGTAAAAGAGAAAGATAGCAATGAGTGACATCAGAAGCTCTCTTTTTTTTAATTTTGATTTCTGCTGTTGATATTCATTTTCCAGGCCAACTTCCTCCAGCTTTGCCACCGGGGTTTGAAATCTCTAATTCGCCTCAACCGCCGCAGCAAGTTCAAGTAGCCATCCCACCGAGTGCAGCAACTACTTCGAACCCTACGCAACAAATTCCAGCTTCTGAATCAGGTTTCTTATATCTTCACCTTCAGCTCTTTCTCAGTCTAGAATTTTGCTAAGAATATTTCTTTGCTCTCGAGTATGCTTGCTGATGAATTTTTATGCTTCTTGGTTACAGAACAGAAGATGGATACCAGTGAGAACCCTGCAACTACAACCTCCACTATTTCCACGGTCTCCGTTGCCGCATCTTCTGTGGTATCAACGCCTATGCAACCGTCTTCGGTTCCGCCATCAACAGTCTCACACGTTACTAACCAAGTACAAAATCCACCTGTGACTCAGCAACAACAACAACAGCCTCAATCACAGTCACTACAGTCGCAATTGCCGCCGCAACCACAAGTGCAGCCTCAACCACAACCGCAACCGCAACCGCAACCGCAACCCCCTCCACAACAGCCAATGAGCATGGTACCCCAGCAGGCTCCGTCCGCAACCCCCCCTATTGTTCCTTCACAGCAATATGGGCAACAAATCTCCGCGCAGTCTCAACAGCAGCAATATAATCCACAACCTAACTACCCTCCGCAGCAGTCGTATCCGCAGTACCCTCAGAACCCTGCTACGCAGCAATATACAGCACAAGGTATTGTTTCTGCAGCTGTTTTTCCCGCAAAATTCTTATTTTATTCGGCGTTTGTTTTTCTGTTTTTTAGGTATTCCGCCTTATCAGGGCGCCCCGCAAAGTTATTATCCTCCACCAGCTCGCCCTCCTTTTCCACAGCAGTATGCGCAGAGACCAGCTTACCAACAACAGCTAACGGTTCACTTTGATTTCACTTTTAACGATATTTTATATACGTCGATTTTTGTTGGTTATGGTCATTCCAATCTTAACTGTTGACTAAAGATAAAACATCTTCAGCCTTATGGTCAACCGGGTCGTCCATCTGGCTTCCCTCCAGGTGCAACTAGTGCTCCTCCGCAGGCGTATGGCTATCCGCAAGGATATCCGCAGCAGGCTGCTCAGGTTCTTTCTTCTATTTATAATCTATTTTCAAAACAGTCTTCTGCTACTTATGCGGAGGAAGTTGTTCTACCGCGAAAGAAGAAAATTTGAACGCCGCGATTATGGCTACAAATATTTGGTTAGCAGAGAAGCTTTTTTGGCTTACTGACAGTTTTGTGGACAAATTGAGGAAAAAATCAATTAAATTCAGATTTAGAGCCTAGTAGACACTTAGTCCCAAAAAATGTTTGCAACTTTGGGTTTGGTTTCGTAACACTGGGAAGTGATTGAAAAAGCGCAGTGAAGTCAAATTTAAATCCAGAAGATGCTGGCTGCGAGAGACAAGCTGCTGGGAAAAATGCAGTTGTTTGGGTAGTGCTGTAGGGGTACGTGTGGAAAGCTACGCTAATCGTGTTGGCGACTTCATAATTTGTACCGCAGAGGAGGCTACTCGTTAGATTGTTGGAGGTCGAGAGATTATTGAGGTTTAATGAGCCACTTTTTCATAATCTCTCTTAGAACATCTTTTTTTTGTCGTTTGTTATCGGTTTTGGAAAACATGAACTTCCTCTGTAACTGTTTTTTTCCCCATTGTTCCTTTGTTTTTTCTCAACTGTGTTAATCTGCAAAGCATCCAAGTGCTGACTATGGCATAAAAATTAATTTTTGAAACTTTTTTTTTTGTTGATCACAAGTTTTCAAAAAGCTGTGGGGTCAAGAAAGAAGCTTCAATTTTTTAGAAAATGAGCTCAAGCCAACATTTTTCATGGCACTCATCAAAGCACATTACCGTATCCGCTAATCCCTACGCGAAAAAAACTTTGCAGCAAATTACGGCAAATTCTCTTGTAGAAATAAGGTGCACATACCTTATGCCCAAATCTCGGTGGAAGAAATGGGCTACTTATACTGAGAATATGAAAAGTGATTGTTAACAGTATGTTCGTCGCTTTCGCTACTTTGCACCATTTATTACTTTTTCAGCACTATTTCTCATTGTTTTCTTATCACAAATCCAAGCTTTTCTAGTCCGCCAATTTAAAAGCATGTTTTCTGTTTTTGCTTTAACCACTTGTCTTTTTTTAAATGTACCTCCTGACTCCTAGTTGCATAGTTTGCTATGACAAGAAATATTCAGATACTTTTAGGCAGTAAATAGAGCAATTATTGTAGCAAAGTTAGTAGGTATGTGAGAAGTATGAAGGTGCTCCCACATTTCTGTTGAAATCATAGCGAAAAGGGGCTAGAAAGCAAGAAATTTTGAGAACAGACAAACAACATCCTAATGACTTCTTGTCAGTTAGTACAAAAGTTTAGCACACGCTTGAGAAGTTCGTTTGCGAGTTTTGTAAAGCTCAGTGGCGTTGGACCAAAGGAGGTGCGGTTTTTCTGAACTGAAATTGTTCTTGAAAGTTTACTCCAAATTAGAAT